GGTCGGGCTAGTTCACGCAGAACGCCACTGGCTACACCAATTCGCCGGTCGATCTCTTCCTCCAACTTTATATCACTAGTAAATATAGTTCCGAGGTACTTGAACTTCTCCACATGCTCCACTGCCTCTCCGTTAATCCGAAGAGAGCAACGGGCAGGAGAACGTGAAAGCACTAGGCTTTTCGCTTGAGACAGGTACACAGAGAGTGCTGCATATCAATTTCAAAACACGGCAACAAAACAAGATGGCCTGCGAACAGCAAACTTTTCATATCCTCGTTGCCTACGCTGATGCACTCGTCATCTTGGCTGCGTCTGACTATTTCGTCCATGTGAAACACAGACAGAGAGAGGACAGGGTGCAGTCTTAGGGGAAATCATTGCCAATGCTGAAAGGTCTCGTTTTAACGCAATTTATTATGACGCAGCACCTGCTATTAACTTATGGTAAATGGATGATTTGTAGCAATGTAGCAACTTTCCATTGATCCAACAGGTCTGCCAGCATATCTATATTTATTGCACAAGATCTCGTCATAGGCCTTTTATAGATCAAAAAACTACAAGCAAACCGGATGAGCGAAATCCCATAATTCTTTTGCAATTTAGTCTAAAGCAAAGATCTAGTCAAAAGTACTTCACCTGATTGGAAGTCATGCTGTTCTACTTGAATCTTAAGATCAACTATTCTGAGGCACCTTCCTTCTAGCATCGTCAAATAGACTATTTTCTGGAGGTTCAGATAATGCCTCGATAACTGGAGCACTCCAAATGATATCCATTTTTGAACATCGGCAGTATCGATCCAGTTTTCCGGTCAGTTGGTGTCTTTCTCATGCTCACTGGAGTTTGAAACAGAAACGTTAGCCACCATGACGTAGTGTCCTAAAGCTTTAAGCATCCCAGGGCAGATTCAATCAGTTGCAGCAGCCTTGCCATTTTCAAAGCTTTGCGCAGCACTTGTGACCTCATCAACTGAAAAATTACGATTTATGGCCTACCGCTGCTGAAGCATGTCTCCATGCGGTTGATTATCATAAAATCGTTGTTTGGAGTCCTTCATCAATGTGCCGCAATCAAACGTCATACGGGTTCGGTCATAACCCGGCCAACCAATGACAGCACGGGTTCTTGGAAAACTGTAGCATACAACGAAAAGTAGGCTAACAAGACCTGATTCATGCTTTCTGTCAGCTGGGGACGTAGAAGCACTACGACGACTGCAAATCCACACAAAAGTGACAAAGATACTGGTAAGCAGTATAGTAGCCACAGATACTGAATTGAAGAAGTAGATAAGATTTCTAAAAAAATTCACGCCGACAGTGTGAAGGCATGGTCTGAAATTGGATGACTTCCGCCCTCATTGGAAAAAGCAGAAGCTAGATGATGACTCTACAAAATACCAACTT